AGGTGGGCAACAAATGCTTTGGGAATGATGAGGGCAATGAATGTTCAAATGTGCTTTACACAACTGATGTAAGTGTGGATTGTGATAAGAGTTGTATGAGCCCCTAATAAAATGATTTAAAAAAACAGAGGGCTTTATCAGGTGTGAGTGAGTTTGTAATGGGAGTTTAAAATATAGACACCATTCTTTTTTTATAAACTGGGTGGTGCAAGTGCAAGTATTGACTGAATATTATTCTCTGAATTGTGTGCATTTTCAATTTCATACTTTTTCTTGTTTTTCAAGATAGAATGGAAGGTGAATAGGTGAAGAAGACAAGTAGAGGGACATCCTTGGAGGAATTTCCCAGTAAAGGCAAGCACAAAAAAGCAGTGCTGTGGAAGCTTTGTGGGCACACGCCCTTCCTCAAGATGGCAGATATGATAACACGATATTTCATGTACGAAGAAAAAAGACTGATGATGTGAAAATCAGGAAATATTGAAGGAGGTATGTCCTTGAGTGGCTAAGAGAACAGAGGTTCGAGAAGCAAGAAGAGCTCACCCAGGGCCCGTGGTAAAGGTAGCTGAGTGCACGTTTTCAAATGCGGCAGGATGGCAGGCCAGTGGGTCACAAGGTGGTGAAGTCTTTTGTGACTGTTTTTACTTTCTCAGTGAGATAAGAAGCAAAGCCACAAGGAAAGAGAGGGCATTTGACGTCTGAGGTGAGAGAGGACACAGGAATCAGGGAAATGTGGAAAATGCCTAGAAAAACCTGTGGATGCTAGCAGAAGCATCAAGGTCCGACTTGAACGTTACATCCATAAATCTAACGGGAGGCTGGTCAGAAGAATGCTTTGTTTTCCCTTCATCGGAGATGAGCTGCTCAGCTGTAGGCAGAGGACCCTGAGTTAAACAGAGTTCGGGTTTTACAGGGTGGAAACCGGCAGGAATGAGAGTCAGAGTGAGGCCCTAAGAAGGCGGTGGAGGCAATGAGTGGGAAATCCTGCTGGGTCTGAACAACTGGACAAGCAGGTTGCAGAACAGTGGAGCTAGAAAGGTACCAGGTGATTGCTAAATAATTGAAAGCTTAAACCTCAGATTTTGAAGTGAGAGCTACCGGTACTACTTGGACCTTTGCTGCCTGGCTTAGCTGGCAAATCTGGGACAAATACAAATTTAAGATATCCCTTCGGTTTCTCAGGCTGCAAGAGATGCCAGAGTTAGGAGTTTTGAAGGGAGGATGGATCTGCCGGGATTGTATCCGGCATTATTTCTGAGTGTCTCTCACACGCTAGGCACTATGGGGAAAATAAAACACAGAGATGCCTTATCTAGCCCGCAAAGGAAAGGGCGGGATGAAAGCTAGCAGTGGTGTTGAAAAGCATGGAAACTCGAAGGTATTTTAACTTCATCACCTTACCCATGGGGGGAGTACAAGGGAGGTGAAAGCCTGGGGTTTGCACCAGTCCGGGAAGCTATTCGAGTTAGAACGGGGACCTTACCTGTTAGTGACAGAGTCGACAAGGTGCTGTTTGAACATGAGGCTCCATCTCTTGACAATGTTCAACAGCGACGCTTTAAAGGGCCGCAGGTCAACCTTCATCCAGCCGTCGAAGACTTTGACGGGCTCCAGCTTGCAGACCTCTTCGTAGAGCTTCTCATAGAGGTCGATCTGGATTTTGAACTGAGGGAGGAGGGGAGGGTTCTCGGGGATGCCATCCTCTATCTGGGCTTCAATCTCATCAGGTGTGAGGACATGCCCATACAACAAAAACTGACTCAGGACCTCCTTCCGGTCCTCCACATAGAGGGAGGCGTATTGGCTGAAGGTGTCTCGGTAGCCACAGCAGAGGGCCATCATGTTCTGGACCCTCTCCATGAGCATGCGCCTCATGCTTGCCAGCTCAGCTCTGCCCTCCATATCAACCTGGTGGGGTAAGAGGACAGCGGGTGGGATTACACCAGTGCGTGGCACGGAGGTCCAGGGTCTCTAGCTGGGAAGAAAGGTGGGGGATCCAGTACCTGATAGTGAGGAGCGTGGTCTTGTGGAGAGATCCGTGGCACCAGAGATGCTATCCTAAAAATGTTCATGAGAAGACCCTCCACCAGGTCATAAAAGCCTCCTTTCACCCCAGACTCCAGCGAGGGGCAGAACACTAATTCTGGGGGAGCTAAGCTCAGCTGTGTTTCAAATATTGGGGTGGTTCCAGCCTTGTTTTCTGAAAAACAAGGGAAAAGAACCAGGACAAAGAAGAAGAGGTAAAAGAGACAAAGTGAAATATGGTGGTAAAAGCACCCAGAGAAATTCCTTCCCTGAGCTAAGCTCTTTGGGTACAGGAGAGTGGACCTACAACATTTCCTGACACCCAAGAAAAGGTAAGGGTTTCTGTCTTGTTTTGCTTCTCAGTCAGGGAACCACTGACATATTCGGCAAGCCAACGTATATGCATTGAGCTGGGTATTGTAGCAACTGTATTCTCCCTGTCCTAAGAACCCATGTCCCTGACCCTGAGCAACCCACGCCAGTCCCTTTCCACACGCCCAAATGGCAGCCGGGAGTAGAACAACTTCTGGCTGAGAAGAGGTTACTTTTGAAAGCCGTTTTTTAGGACCGACTGAAGTTTTCCTAATCACAACCATGCAAATCCACGGGCAACCACTAGGTGAATGCTTGCAATAGTGGCCACCAAACACTGTTAGAAGGGCGACTCAGATTTAGAGTAACCCAATAAGGCACAGGCTTAATGGGTTTCCAAGGCAATGTAGTGGTGAAATGCCTGGCTGCTAACTGAAAGGTTGCCTGTTTGAACCTCTCAGTCTTGTGCGAGGAGAAAGATGTGCCAGTCAGCTTTCTTAAAGAGTGACAGCCTTGGAAGCCCTCTGGGCAGTTCTGCCCTGTCCTCTGTGGTCAGTCAGTATTGTTTTTGGCCAAACTCACAGTAGAGTTGGTGGGTTTGAACTGCCAACCTCTTGGTGAACAACCGAGTGCTCAACCGTGGCACCCTGAGGGCTCCCCAATGGTTGTTTTGACAGGAGAAACAAGGAGATCCCAATTCTGCTCTTCTTCTATAACAATAGAACTTATTTTAATTCTGTAGTACAGCAGGGATGGAAGATTTAACAGCAACACAAATAATTGACAAATCTCTAATCATTTGCTAGACCGACTTGCTTTGTTAAATGTAATTCACAATGCATGGAGCAAGATGTTCCAAGTACAAAATAAATGCTTAAACTCTTACTACCAACTGCTTGCTTTTTACTTGTCCTTATATTTGAATGTAGACATGTTTAGGAGAATATTATGTGCTGGAAATTGTGGGTGGCAGAGACTCTTCAATGGAACGTTCCCCGCTCTTCTTCCTTAGAAATTCAGTTAAAAGTGGGGATGTGACTGGATTTCCGAGCCCTGCCAGCTAGAGTCTCGGTGTGGTGCTCAGAGTTTGTATACTGAGCCACTCACGAAAGGTTAGAAGTCCAATCCATCCAGGGTCACCTGGAAAGGAAGCCTTGGCATTCTACGTCAAAGCCACTGGAAACCCCACGACACACAGTCCTACTCTTGACACCCACGGGTTTGCCGTGCGTCGGAGTGCATTCTGTGGTGGTTGGCTTCCAGTTTTCCTTTCAGTTGTGCGGGGACATGGCATTCCATCGCCAGTGGCATGTGGGAAGGCGGATGTGGGCTCCTCTGAGTGGGCCCTGAAGACAGCAGGTGCGCCTGCTTTAAGCGCTCTCTCTTTGCTCACACCTGTGCCACAAACCACAACCCATGAAGGGGTCATCAAAATGGAAAGGTAGGGAAGAATATTTTGAAAGCAGGGGAGGCAGGGGAGGCGGGATTTTAAGACATCAAGCCCAACTCAGAGAAATAAATCAGACACAGAGTTCAACGAAGTAGGGAAGGGCTGGGGTCCAGACACCACACTTGTGCAAGAAGGCATCAGAGAAGACTCGGCTGAGTGCAGAGGGGAAGGCCCCGAGCCCGGTGTGGCCAGAGGCTCAGTGGCTCTGGAGAAAGTCACTGTGACGCTTTGTCAGAGGCTGGGCAGCCTTACTTCCTCGCTCCCTTTCACCTCCTCTCTGCTTCTGGCCTCAAACGGATTTCCTTGTCATTTCTTGTAATTCAAATCCTGTCCAGGTTCAATCCTAGTCACTGAACCCCAAATGCTCTGCCCGTATTAACTCTTGAGGTGATGTACTTGTACCACTGTTTGGAGATCAGGACCTTCTGCTTTGCTTGGTCCTTAGGGTGCTGCTGCTTCTAACATCAGGATTAGCTTCTCTTGTCAGCACATAGGACACATGTTTTTCAAGAGAGTTTACTCTTCCTGAAAACTCTTTAAATCAAGTAAACTATATGCCACCCTATCTATGAACTTATAAATACAGACTCCATGAGGGGTCTTCAAAAAGTTGGTGGGAAAACGGAATTGAAAGACAACAGAATGTTCCCATGATATTTTGTTGTTGCTGATCTGATTCTCTCATACTCTAACTTTTTATCATAAATTAGGTGGAGGTTTACAGAGCGGATCATCGGGTTTGTATTCAATAATTCATACATGTTTTATCGATCCATCCGTTGCAATCCCTTCAATATGTCATCACTTATCTCACTTTCCCCTGTTTCCTGTTTCCATTCCTCCTACATTCTTTATCTGCTGAACCTTGTTCTTGGGTAAATATTACCTTTTTGAGGTAAAATGGGGGATTGTTTTATCCCAGGGATGAGTTTGGTTTCAGACATGTCTTCTCTGGCCAACAAGCCTGGTCTCTCATGATTTGGGGCTCTGTTCCACATTTTCCCTCCACACTACCCGGGACCTTGTCACGTGATCGATCCTTTGCAGAACAGTTGGTAGTGGTAGCTGGGGACCATCTCTCTCTTCTAATCTCGCAGTTGCCCCATAAACATGTTGAAGTCCCTTGTACATAATCATGCAGTATATCATGGGTACATCTGTATTGACCCACTTTCACGATGCTTTTTCAATCCTATGATAGCTGTCAGGGGAGACCAGGCCTTGTGGAGAAGGACATCATGCTTGGGAAAGTGCAGGGGCGGTTGAAAAAAATGGAGACCTTCAACAATAGGGCTTTTCACAGTGACTGCATTGATGGGCTCAGACGTAAGACCAGGTGTGATGATGACACAGGACCGGCCAGTGTTTCGTTGTGCTGTACAGGGGCTCTATGCAGATGGACCAACTCACTGACACCTAACACTGTTTTATGGGCAATTTGCATTCCCCAAAGGTTAGTCGTTGGATTTCAATCTGCATAGTCAGCAGTTCGAAACCACCAGCAGATCTGCAGGAGAAAGACTTGACTTTCTACTCCCGTAAACAATTACAGCCTCAGAAACCCACAGTGTGCCACTGTGGGTCAGCATGGACTGGATGGCAGCAAGTTGTTTTTTTTTAAAGTTTAATAGATATTGGCCTTTCAGTGGGAGAATTCTTGCCTTCCCATCCAGTGCACATCAACCACTCATTCCACCTCTCAGTTGAAGCCTGTGTGTTGCTAAAACACTAAAGAAGTTTCAACAGAGCTTCCAGATTAAATGGACTAAGACTAGTTTGATAAAGTAATATTTTTTAAATCAGTCCATTAAAACCCTACAGATAAAAGTGGTCAGAACAGCAACCAACCATTACTTCAATAAGGCCTTTGCTAAATTCTTCAGAATGTACTAGAATGTGAACATTTAGTTTATCTGTAAGTCCTGAAGATTAGGCCTTAGTATGTGTTGAGGGGTAGGGTGATAGGCAAAGTGATTCAGAGATGGTTAGGCAGTAGAATGTTCAACGTCCAGGCAGGGGACCTGGCCAGCAATCCTCAAGCACACCCACTGTCCGTTTATAAGAGGACGCTTGTTGGTTGCTCTAATGTTGAAGAGGTTTCAGTGGAGGCTTTAGACTAAAGCAGACTAGAGAGAACGTCCTGATGATCAACTTTCGAATATTCAGCCAATGAAAACTCTATGGATCACAATGGTCCCACCCCTTTATGCAGGGATTTGCCACGACTTCACGGTGACCAGTAAGAAGAACATCATACCTTTCACTCTGTACACCTTACCCCGGTTTGGCCACCATAAAGCAAATGCCCTCCGTCATCTTTTCACAGCTTCAGGAATTCCCATTCCCTTTTCAACATTCCACTCCTCTGAAAGAAATTTCTTCCTCTGCTTGTTGGCTCTTGACTTTTCACCTACACACAAATGTCTATTTTTTCCACGTAACCTGGCTACTACAAACTTCTCTGTGTTCTCAAAAGAATGAAATGCATGATGCCTAAAGACACAAATGTTCCTCTCTCAGTGACCTGAGTCCAGAAGAAGCTTCCATTACTCACTGTGCTTCCTGACGCTCCACCTCAGTCAACTCTTTGAGTTGAATCACTGAGACAATTTCAACTCATAGCAATCCTGTAAGACATGGTAGAACTGCCCGTGTGGATTTCTCATAGTGCAACTGCCTTATGGGAATATAGTGACTCATCTTTTTCTCATCGAGGAATGACTGGTGGTTTTGAACTGCTGACCTTGTGGTGAGCAGTCCAATGTGTAACCTTACAGACTTTATTATCTTAAATCCTGGTTGACCATCTCTGACCATTTCACACCACAGATAGTATGGTGGTTATCTTCCCAATAATAACCCACATCCATAAGGTAGTCGGTACCAGTATTTTCCAGGAGATATTTGAGGGAACACTCAATGGCCAGAAAGAAACCATCCAGCAGCATAGCATCGATGTAGTTCACGTAGGTCTTCCAGATACGGGAGGTCGGGTCAGCTGAAAACAGACTCAGGTTTTCCTACAGAAGAGAAGGAAGGAAGCAAACTCTGTTTAGAAGCAGGAAAGAACTGGTCTCGTCTCACTAATAGGAAGGAAAACAACATGAAGAAGGCAGACGAAAGCATTCTCCTAATTAATTGGCTGTTACAGTGTGGTAGTTACATAAACTTGTGTCACCTTGATGGCGTGTCAATCAGGTCACAGCCTGATGGTCCCTTATTGTGGGTGTGGCCTTCTCACAAGGAGGGGCCTGGGAACCTCTCCCACCTCTCTCTCTGCTTCACCTTCCAGTTGACAGGCTACACTGATGGCAGCCAGAGCCCTGGAGATGTATCCACTGCCATTGGATCTACAAGACTTTGCACCCACCAGCCTGTGATCTTCCGGCCTTCTGCATCATTGCCTGTGGCTGGGTGAGTCTGAAGAGGGATTTATAGACTGGTATTGGACTTAGGGAGTAGTATCAGACGTACAGACTTAATCTGGATTGGGTTGGGATAGTGATTTGGTATACAATAACTTCTTGATATAAAGCTCTCCCTTACATATATGAGTGCCCCTGGATTTGTTTCTTTAGTCAACTGGCCTAACACATACAGGTATATCAAATCCATTCTGTGTGAATGGTTATAACCAATGATGGAAAGAAATACAAACATAGTCCAGGTAGGGAATATGTGGTCCCATCCTGTCCTTGAGGAAGATAGTGCGGTCAGTCCACTTCTTAAAGAGGAATGGTTTTAAAGAGGAATAGCTGATACTAAGGGCCCAATAGAAAGTAAATGTTTAGAAAATAACAATGGCAACATATGTACAAATATGTTTGGTAGAATTGATGTATGGATTGTTATAAGAGCTGTAAAAGCCCCCAATGAAATGATCTTTTAATTTTAAAAAATCAATTAAATAAATAAAAACTCATTTCCGGTGGGGGGGGGGTGTAGAATTTTTTGTTGTTGATGTTCTGTGCTTTGGAAGTGCTGACTGATGTACTATGAAGGATGCTGCACCAGAGGGGAAGTTAAGGTATGCAGTGGAAACAAAACAAAGGGTAACAGAACAGCATCGAAGAATCAGGAGGTTTCAAAGAAGTAAAGAATTTCCGGTGTAATCCTCAAAGGTGAGCTGGTGTGTCTTGCTTACATTTAGTATTAGCCCAACAGGTTGAGTGTTGGACTGCTAACCAGGTGGCTGGGGGTTGGAACCCACCTGCTGCTCCCTGGGAGAAAGATGAGTTTCCATAAAGATTGATAGCCTGAGAAGCCCTATTCTCAGAAGCCGATCCATTCTCTCCTGTAGGGTCACAGTAGGAATCAACTTGACAGCAATCAGTTTGGTTTTTAGGGTAAAAGCATTGATCACACTGAGTGCAATTTTAAAATTCATAGTCACACATAAGCAAAAGCACTTGCTTCCTCTCTCTGATTCTCATCCTTCTATTTTTTAGGATACAGTCTCGAACCTGGCGGAGCATCACTATGGTAACAAAAGTTGGGCTTCAAAGAGAGAAACCCTACATGCTCAATTGTGGGATATTTAGACATCTCATTTACCCCTAAGGAGCCTAGACTGTCGAATGATTACAAGTTGGGCTGTGATCCACATAGTCAGCAGTTTGAAACCACCAACAGCCCCTAGGGAGAAAGACTGGGCTTTCTACTCCTGTAAACAATTACAGTCTCTGAAACCCACAGAGGGTCACTATAAGTCAGCATTGACTCCATGGTAGTGAGTTTTGTTTGTTCATTCACCCCTAGTCATTTTCCTTATTATGACTTTCCACAGGCACCTCACCTCTCATCTTATTATAGATAATGTGTTTTAGAAACTTGAGAGTTCTGTAACTTAAAGGAAGGATCAGGGTTGTCGGACAGCGAGACATGAACAGAAAGTTACACAGCGTAGCTTTCTAGAGTATTCTGCATTTTAATCATCATGGTAGTTATGTGAATGTATATTTTTCAAAATCCATTAAACTATAGGTACACTTACTATCTAAATATTGGATTTCACTTTTTGGAGAAAGATGAGGCTTTCTACACCCACAACCTCAGAAACCCACAAGGGCAGTTCTATAAGGCAGCTAGGAGTTGAAATTGATTCAATGCCAGTGCATCTTATTTTTTAAATAAATCATTTAAATGGGAGCTCGTGCAACTCTCAGCACAATCCATACATCCATCCATTGTGCAAAGCACATCTGGGTAGTGCACTTTTTTATACTTCACTTTTAATAAATAAATGACCAGCTGTGCTGAAATATCCAATAATGGGATAACTTAGACAAATCATGGCATATGTGGAATTATACAATGTTATCCAGTGACACAGGGAGTCCTATGATATAGTGGTCATGCATTGGGCTGCAATCCGCATGGTCAGCAGTTTGAAGCCACCAGCAGCAACTCCGGGGAAAGGCCGGCTTCCTACACCCACCTGTGAACAGTGACCTCTCAGAAACCCACAGGGGGTGGCTATGAGTCAGCACTGACTCCACAGTAGCGAGTTTTGTTCTGGTTGTCTAGTGGCACCGAACATCACCTAGTATGTTGTTGTTGTTAAAGTGCCATTGAGTTGGTTCTGACTCACAGCGACCCGACCCTACGGACAACAGACGTCCGTTGCCTGGTCCTGCACCATTTTCGGAGTTGTTCTTACATCTGAGCCGATTGTTGCAGGCAGCCACTGTGTCATTCCATCTTGTCAAGGGCCTTCCTCTTATAAACTGAGTATGTACTGGCTTTACGAAACGGAACTTTAGGCACTCATTTCACCTTCTGCACCTTGCTTTCTTCATCAACCAGTGGAGTAAGTGTGTCTAGATTTTTCACCAGAATTAAATGAACACATGTAGTGCTTAGAGTGGTGCTTGGCACGTGGTACACTAAAAAAATGTGAGTTATTATAAATATCATTTTGGGATAAGAGTTATTACTAAAGTGCCTGAACTGTTAGAGCAATCTTTACGACCATAATCTAATTTAAGCTACTTTTGATTATTTTCTGCTTGACCTATGGAAAACTAAGCAGTTATAATTTTTTTTCTTTCAGGTCTCTGTACTTGACTTACTGATTAGGCAATTTAAATCTCTGAATTTTCTCCCATTTCAAATTTCCACTGCATAGTTTTGAGAGTTTTTCATTAGATAGACTCATAAATGGAACAAAAACGTGGGTGAAGGGAGACAGCGGCTGGTGTAAACTATGAAAATTAAAATAATTTATAAATTATTAAGGACTCATGACAATGGTAGGAGGGGGAAAAAGAGGAACTGATACCAAGGGTTCGAATAGAAAGAAAGTTTTTGGAAACAATGATGGCAACATATGTACAAATGTGCCTGATACAATTGATGTATGGATTGTTATAAGAGCTGTAAGAGCCCTCAAAAATGATTTATTAAAATAAACAAATAAAAATAAAGAATAAAATAAAAACCTTAAGTAATTTCTTGAATCTTAATTTTCTCTCATTGAAAAATAGGAGCGGTATTCAACTCAATACAACACTACCACCACTATGTCTGCATTTCCATGGTATTCACTCTACTGTTTAGGACAGTGTTTGAAACACAGCTGATAGATGATTGATGGTTAGATGGATAGATGGATGGATGTCTAGGACCTACACAAGGCCTACTGAGATTTTTAATTTGGGACTAAATAGAGTTAACCCACTCTCTGAAACCTATGATTTCAGAAACCATCCCCCTTAACTTCCGGTCATCAATAATGCTCCCCGTTCACCATTATCATTGTACTTCAAACCACAGAGAGGGAGATGAACCTCTCAGATGTTGCCCTCCGGCTACTTCAATAGGGTCAATACAGCAAGTGGTCATGAATAGCCTTGTTCTTTTCTCACAATGAAACTTTAGCCTTTGATGACAGGGCATGAGGGTGGCCTGTCCATAATGCAGGGAGGAACTCTACTGCATATTAAGCTCAGAACTTGGGGTTTATTTTTCCCATGAGGAAAACCACTGCAACCTTCCATCTCTCCAGGAACTGCAGGGATGGACTCTGAAGCTGAGGCTTGAGGGACACGCTAGGTGGTGTGGGAAAGTGGAAGATGGAGGCGGGTGGTTCAGTGGATAATTTTGAAGTCTGTCCTTGGCCTTCCCTTCTATCTACTTGGCGAATTTGGGGTGGGATTGAAGTCATGTGACAATTAAGAGGGGCTACCTTTAAGAAAGTACTAATAGAATATGCATTTTCATTCAGAAGTCTATTGTTTTTAGGAGTCTTTGTGGCACCTACCTGTTAACTTCCTAGTTGCTAACAAATGGGTTGGCAATTTGAGCCCAGCCTGCAGCTCTCTGAGAAGAAGTCCTGGAAATAAGCCATCAGCGAGATCACAGCTCAGAAAAGCCTGAGGGGGTGTTCTACAAGTCAGGGTAGACATGGCAAACCCAACACCAACAATCTGTTCTCTCCAGTGCTTTTTCTATTGGTATAAACTTTCTGTCCCTGGCTGCAGAACACAGTATCTATTGATTCTTTTCATTTACAAATCCCCCTTGCAACCAAAGATGCTTCTTGTTGCCTTCCCTATATTCATGGGGTCTAAGAAGAGGCTTTTACCTGGACGAGGGCATGTATCTTAAGCCCTGAGTCTTTGATGAGGTTGTAATATTTTTCCATTCGATCATGCTGATCATCCAGAGAGAGAAGGCATTCTTTTTTCCCATCTTTTCTCTTAAATATTGGAGATAACCATGTTTTCATGATGCCTTGAATCTCTTCCACATTGTCTTTAGTTTTCTGAATTCTTTGTTCAAGATCACGAATACTATGGGTGACTTGGATGACATAATCCGAAACACCTGCCCCAAAGAAGAACGATAATTTAAGTAGTTTACAGTGGCAGGAGGAAGACTCGTGGCTTTCTACTCCTGTAATGAATTACAGCCTCAGAAACTAACAGGGGAAGTTCTACCCTTTCCTATAGGGTCATTCTGAGTCAGCATCAACTCAATGGCATTGAGTTTTTTAGAGCTCACAGAACAGTTGCTTTGAAAGGCAGGGAGTTAATACTTTTGTGTTTTCTGAAAACTATCAATGAAACCTTCTTCATTGTGTCAAGCAGTCAATCCCTACCATGACCTCTATTATGTGTAAGAGAAATAAAGGGGTAGATTTTACCCACTGAACACCCAAAGGTTAAAGCAGTAACTGGGACATACAATTTTACATGCAAAACACCAGTGCAGCTTGATGACTATCTTTGACATTTGTGTTTAACACTGTCACTGTGTAAACCAAGCTCATTGCCTTTAAGTCTATGCCGACTCATAGCAACCCTATTAAGAAAGGGTTGAACTGCACCTGTGAGCTTCTGAAACTGTAACTCTTAATGAGTAGAAAGCCCCATCTTTTTTCCTCTAAGTGGCTAGTGGTCTCGAACTGCTGACCTTGTCATTAGCAGCCCGACGAGTAACCACTACACCACCAGGGCTCCTTCATGCGTTAAGTGGGAGAAGTGCCCTTTCTTCTTGCATATGGAATATAAAGTTCTAACTTGTTTTATGTGTCATTTAAAGACTTCTGGAAGTTGATTTTGACCTCTTCCACCTCTTCTTAGAATTCTAATTCAAATTGATCTCCTTCTCCATGTGATTTATCACTTTACTTTTCAATCTATAATGAGTTACTTTTTAACAAGGCACCCTAGTGGTGAAGCGGGTTGAGTATTGATCTGCTGACCAGCTGCTCCCTGGAAGAAATATGAGGCAGTCTACTTCTGTGAAGACTGGAAACCTCAGAAACCACAAGGCGCTTTTCTGTCCTGTCCTGTAGGGTCAGAAGGGGTCCAAATGAACTCAACTCAGCAGCGGTGGGTTTGGCTTGATTTGGTTGATGGATTTTTATTGTCGCTCATGTTATATGACTTATTTATGACTGCCATCAAGTCAATGCTGACTCACAGTGAACCCCCTCTGGGTTTCTGAGACTGGAGTAGAAAGTCCAGTCTTTCTCCCTCGGAGCTGTTGATGATTTTGAACTGCCAACCATGCAAATGACATACAGATCAATGCTTAACCACTATGTCACCAGGGCTCTGTGATTTGGCTTTGTCAGAACAGACAAATCCCATATATGTCTCATATTCTCCCAATAATGCCTCCCAGTGTCCTGTGCAGACCAATCTGTCAGCGAAACACTAGTGAATTGGAGGACGAAGAAACACCAAACCCTCACTGTCATTGAGTCCATTCTGGTTCACAGCAACCCTAAAGGACAGCGGAGGACGGTCCCTGTGGGTTTCTGAGACTATACATCCTTATAGGAGCAGAACGCCTCGCCTTGCTCCCAGAGGGGCTGATAGCTTCCCTCTCCTGATCTTAGGTTGAGCAGCCCAATGCATAGTCATTACACCACCAGGGATCCTCAAGGATACAAGGGAGGTAATAACCTCACAGTTCTCTCTCTTAAGATATTTTAAATCCAGCTAAGAAAATAAAATAACAATGATAAAATAATAAAAGGCTTCATTCGCCAAGGGGCCAGTAGATGTTGGCGATTGTGGGGGATCATTTGCAACCTCAGCTTCATAAAGCACAAAGCATCAACGTTTGCTAAATCTGTACATCAAACCCAAGGAGAAGGAAGAAGAGGCACATCGACTCTCCCTGCCTTCTCTACTGTGGGTTCAAGGAGAGGATAAACTTAGGTTTCAAGTGTAAATCAAGTCCATCCAGAAAAATCAGCCACTAAAAACATCTAAGGCACAGTTCCACAAGAACACACATGGGGTTGGCCAGGGGGGACATCCACTCTATAGCGATTGGTTGGTTGGTTGTATAAGGTCCATCTGAGTGAAGGGGCAGTTCTCAGCCACAGCCAGTATCTCTAACCCCTTCTCTGCCCCTGCTGCTGAGCATAATATGACACCTCCCCTCCTCAAGTCTCCCAGAATCCTTACCCGCCTCTCTTCACTGTTCTGATGCCACAGTCAATGGCGGGCAGTGTGGGCTCCTTTTAGACATAATGATTTATTTCTGTCCCAAAAGTTTATGAATGCCGAATTCCTGTTTGCTCTCTCTTTCTTCTCCTTCCCGTGTGGCCTCACATCCCTCTGTCTCTCCCTATCTCCAGCTCTCCTGTCTTACTTACGACTCTTCTCTCTTCACTCTTTTTTTTAATTGTTTTATTAGGGGCTCATACAACTCTTATCACAATCCATACATACATCAATTGTGTAAAGCACATTTGTACATTCATTGCCCTCATCATTCTCAAAACATTTCCTCTCCACTTAAGCCCCCGGCATTGGGTCCCTCATTTCCCCCCTCCCTCCCTGCTCCTCCATCCCTCATGAGCCCTTGATAATTTATAAATTATTATTTTGTCATATCTTGCCCTGTCTGACGTCTCCCTTCACCCACTTTTCTGTTGTCCGTCCCCCAGGGAGGAGGTCACATATAGATCCTTGTAATCGGTTCCCTCTTTCCAACCCACTCTCCCTCTACCCTCCCAGTATTGCCACTCATACCACTGGTCCTGAAGGGCTCATCCGCCCTGGATTCCCTGTGTTTCCAGTTCCTATCTGTACCAGTGTACATCCTCTGGTCTACCCAGACTTGCAAGGTAGAATTGGGATCATGATAGTGGGGGCCGGGAGGAAGCATTTAGGAACCAGAGGAAAGTTGTATTTTTTCATTGTTGCTACATCGCACCCTGACTGGCTTGTCTCCTCCCCGAAACTCCTCTGCAAGGGGATCCCCAGCTTCACTCTGTCTTCCAGGCTTCCCTCACCCTGCCCCCTTTACTCTCATTCCAGCCCAAACACCCCGCATTTACTCTACTGAAACCTGTTCATTGAACCTCCCTGCTCTGGCTCCACTTTCCTTTTCCTGTTATAGGGTGGCATCCCCATTCTAACAGGTTGGGGTTTGTTCTTATCAACTTTATTTAGGTCCTGAACACGCTCTCCCCAAATCCAGGCAGGATCTTCTTACCTTCTGTTTTCCAGTTGAGTGTCTCCTCTGCAGTTCTCAAGCAGCGATCAATAGTGTGCAGCTCGCCCTCCACTAATGGAAATTCCACCTCTAGCAGAGTTCTTAGAACCTTGTTGTACCAATTTGCCATCAACTCCAAATTAGCCACAAGTTGTCGATAGAATTCCCTGGAGAAGAACATGGCTGCTGCTGTCTCCGGGATGCACTTCATCTGCGTGGGCTCAAGATAACTCATTTCTTTCAACACTGAAATCAGCTGGAGAAAAGAGTCAACACAAATGGCTGTAGTGCAGCGACAGGGGCAAGCTGGAATATTGGTCAATACTGTAACTGGAAATGCCCAATGGGGCCGCAAAGTACTGCTAAGTCCCTTCCTAATGCCTGCTCTTGCAAGTTCCTTAAATCAAAAGACAGGAAAGGAACATTAGCATAAGAGGCAGAGGGAAGATGACGCAGAACCAGCAAAGGTGACAGAATCTGTAAATCCGAGCAAAGGAGGAATAGCAGGCAATGGACAGGGATAGCGGGGACCACAGGTAGAGAAGGACTGGGGGTGTGGGAAGAAGGGAGAGGACCAGCTGGCCTGGGCCACCTCATTCATGAGATGCCTTTTCGAGTGTGGACTTCTAGCTTTATTTCTAAAGGAGGCCACACAGAGTCGTAAGGATACACTGACAGTTGGCGGGTGTCAACTGGGGTGAAGAAGAAGAGAGTGTTCCACAGGAGGGAGATGGGTAGCACAGTGGCTGCAACTATGGGCTCAGGCCTAAGAACAATTTGGAGGATGGTGCAGGGCCGGGCACTGTTTCATTCTGTTGTACACAGGGTCGCTGTGAGTCAGACCCAACTCAATGCCGCTAACAATTAGGAGCACTGGTGGCATAGTGGTAACACACTGCGTTGCTCAACCCAAGATCAGCAATTCAAAACCACCAGCTGTTCTGTAAGAGAAAGAGGAGGCTTTCTACTCCCGTAAACAGTTCCAGTCTCAGAAACTGACAGGGGCAGTTCTACCCTGTCTTATAGGGTGGCTGTGAGTCTGAATCTTCTTGATGGCAGTGAGCTTAGTTTGGGATTGGTAGGATATTGAGGTGGAAAAGACTTTTTCAAACATAAAACCCCAAAGAGCAAGATCGCAAAGATGTACGTAAACGAAAAACTAACAACGTGAATGCATGTAACCATCACAAACATTAAAAAAAGAAAGACAAACTTAAATAGGTGAAGATATCTCCAGGTTTCTTATTATTTGAAAAATAACTCAAACATATTCTAACAAAAACACAGGAGACAAGAGTGTCTTCAAAAGCAAGTGAGCAGAGGACATAAAAAGTGATTCAAAAGAGAAATATAAATGGGCAATAAACCATGAAGACGCTCAGCTTTACTGGTACTCAGATGAACGCGCACGAAAAAGAACATTGAGACTTATTTTTGCTGCTATGTCAAGTTGGAGATGATCTTGAAAAATGAACACTATCTTATCTTGCTGACGGAATGACTGGACATCACCGTCCTGTAGCACACGTTGATAACACAATGAAAAGCCTCAAAATGAGAAGACCTCTTAACTTGCCTTCCATCTCTAGGCATTTAACCTAGAGAAATAACTGAGAAGAGATGCGATAACATAACTATGTTTATTGTAGCATGATAAAGTAACAATGTCAGCCATTGTAAAATCCACTATTACTTTATGTATTTGCTAAGGAAAAAGAAAAATGTGGCTCATTAAATTATTGATTTAAAATGTGTTTGTGCATGTTGCTATTGTTATTGTTAGGTGCCATCAAGTAGGCTCTGAACCATACCGACTGGGGTGGTTATATAATCTGTTGTCAATTTGAGACTTAAGAGTGGAAGGGTGGAGTCTAGCCTGTCAAGCAGGTCATAGCTTAATGACCTCATTTGGAAGCGCTAAGGTGATAAATAGCTCAGTGGAGGCTGGACACACAGACACTACCTGTGAGATATTCTGGAGCTACAATAGAGCCCGGGTGCTGAAGGAGTCACATGGCAAACCCTGCCAGTTCTGAGATGCTTCCACTGCCACTGAATCCACAAGACTTTCCACCCACCGACCTGTGATCATCCTGCATTTGGCATCATTGCATGTACTGTGTGAGTCTGAAGAGGACTTTATAGATTGGTATCGGACATATGGGCTAATATCGGGCTTACAGACTTGATCTGGACTGGGCCGGGATGTTTTCTCAATATTCAATTGATCTTGTATATAAAACTCTTTCTTGTACATATATGAGTGTCTATGAATTTGTTTCTGTAGTACACTTGGACTAACACAGCGACCCTATGCACAAAAGAACAAAGTGGTGCCCGTTCTGTTGTGCCATCCTCACAACTAGGCCTGAATCCATTACTGCGGCCACTGTCAATCCATCTCCTCTAGAGCCTTCCTCTCCTTCACTGCCCCTCCGCTTTAGCAGCAGGAGGCCCTTCTCGCTCGACTAGCCTCTCCTGACAACATGTTCAAAGTACAGAAGATGAAGACATCTTGTCAGCCTTGCTTCCAAGGAGCACCATGGCCTTACTTCTTCCAAGACAGACCGGTTTGTCCTTTTAGCAGTCCATGGTACTTTCAATATTCCTCTCCAGAACCACAATTCCAATGCATCCATTCTTTTTCAGTTTTCCGTATTCAATACCCAACTTTCACATGCACACAAGGCAATGGAAAATACTGTGGCATACCTTAGTCCCTCAAAGTAACAGCCTTGGCTTTCAATACTCTAAAAAGGTCTTGTGTAGCAGATTTACCCAATGGAACATATCTTTGGATCTCTTGACTGTTGCTTCTCTGAGCATTGATTATGGATTCAAGCAAAACGATATCCTTGACAACTGCAATCTTTTCTCCATTTGTCATGATTTACCTATTGATCCCGGTGTGAGGATTTTAGTGTTCCTGGCATTGAGTTATAAGCCATACTGAAGGTGGTGTGTGTGTGTAATAGATTATAAGCACAATTGAATAGAAAAGGAGTCCCTCGGTAGAGTAATGGTTAGCACACTTGGCTGCTAACCAAAAGGTTGGAGGTTTCAATGCATTCAGAGGCACCTAAGAAGAAATGCCTGGTGACCTGGTTCCTAGAAATCAGTCATAGAAAACTCTATAAAGCACGGTTCTTCTCTGGCATGTCTGGGGTCATCATGAGTTGGGGTCAACTCCAGGACAACTGGTTTAGTTTGTCCAAGATGTAAAAATATATATATAATCATAATAATAAAATAATGCATTGTAGAATCAATGAAATAGTGAGTAAAAACCCTGGAAACTCATTTAAATACCCAATGATAAAGATGATAAGTCATTTAAAATAATGTCAATAAATAATCTGGATACATTGGCATTCCAGCCATTTCAATCCACACAACCTGTTATCTTGGCTGCAGTGAGACAAATCTCTACTCACATCCCTCTCTACAGAGATGTGTGCTAATCCTCACTGTAACAACAGCACACAGTGTTTGTAGTTCTTCCCCTCAGTGTATTTGTACATTCACGTTATGGTTGAAGTACTTACCCCCTTGTCCTTACCTCTCATTACTCCCTCCTTCCGCCTCCCTCTGTTCCCTCCCAGCCACCACTGTGCTGGCTCTAACTCAGGGACACCTGATTTTCATAGAGCTGTGCTCCACAGGGATTAGATCACCAGCTTTTCTTCTGAGGGGCCTCTGGGTGAACATGAACCTCTAAGCTTCTGGTTAGCAGCCAAGCTTATCAGACATTTATATCAGTCAGGGACTCCTATGATCCATAACCTACAAGCATCGATAACTCTGTGGGTTAAGCATTGGCCTGCTAACTGAAAGGGTGGCAGTTCAAACCCACCAGCTGCACTGAAGGAGAAAGGTGAGGCAACATGCTTCTGTGAAGGTTGGCAACTTCAGAAACCACATGGAGCAGTTTCACTCTGCCCACTGGGTAACTGTGAGTTAGAATCCACCCATCTGTAGTGGGAGAAGTGCTCTCTGGAGAGTATACAGGAGTGTTCCAGACTGTCTGATGCTGAGGTATGTACTTGATCACTATAATTGTGTCACTCACCTGGACTATGGCCTACTTCCTAATCCTGATACTTCTCTAATTATCCGGATATGCACTATCACTCACCCAAACCAAACCAAGTCCACTGTCATTGAGTTGATTCTGATTCAAACAACCCTAAACAAAGGTTCCATGACTAAATCTTTAGGGGAGCAGACAGCCTCATCGTTCTCCTGCAGAATGACTGATCAATTTGAACCACCAGTGTTGTGGTTAACATTCCAGCACCTAGCCCATGTGGCCACAAGTGTGTACTATTGAAATTATTCCATTGGGTTAAAGGCAGATCCTTGCCAGGCCAAAGCCAAGAGACAGATTCTCCAACTCCCTTTGCTATCTTTAATTTCAGGGGGGTAAATGATATGCTACCTGAGTGCCATTTTTGCAACTGGCACCAGTATGCTGTCACTGATAGCTCTGTCACCTTCACTTCCAGCTAAGTTACGCAGTACATTCCTGGAGAACATGCCACCAGGGCAGAAGTTGGTAACTGCTTTTAGCTCAGTGAGACCAATCCTTTTTTTTTTTTTGGACAAATGATCTTATCTGTTCACCATTTTTCAGCATTAAGCTTCACAGTCCACTCCACTTGGATCTTCCACCCATTTGACCATCCCAACCTCAATCAGGGCAGGGTTTCTCTACTTGGATATCATTGATATTTGAGGCTGAATAACCCTTAATCCTGTGCACCGTGTGAAGTGTAGCAGGATCTCTGGTTTCTACCTACTGTGTGTCAGCATCACCCATTCCATTCACAATAGCCAGAAATATCTGCAGGGGAGCAAAATCACCACTAATCGGGAACCATTGGTTTAGAGCAGTGGTTCTCAACCTTCTTAATGCCGCAACCCTTGAATACAGTTACTCATGGTGTGGTGACCCCCAACCATAAAATTATTTTCGTTGCTACTTTATAACTGTAATTTTACTACCGTTATGAATCATAACATAAATATCTGATATGCAGGATGTATTTTCATTGTTACAAATTGAACATAATTAAAGTATAGTGATTAATCACAAAAACAATATGTAATTATATATTGTGAAATATTTATTTCTAATTACAAATAAATGAACTTTTGTCTGGAAGCATAATGTAGCAAGGGTAACAGTCTTCATGCTGGGTACTCAGATGTGGCCGTATCTGCATGTGGGCGCACGCGCCTGAAGATGGATAGAAGAAAAGTGTCTTGGTTCCTAAGATCATTGGAAATATGTGTTTTGCTATGATCTTAGGCAACCCCTGTGAAAGGGTTGTTGAACCCCCAAAGGTGTCGTGACCCACAGGTTGAGAACCACTGGTTTAGAGTCTATTAGTGAATTCACCTATTTGGGATTTATCAAGCGCTATCTTAGAAAGCTACCATTCATCCGTCAGTTTGTTGTACACTGGTGGTCTGTCTACATGCTACAGCGGCCATGGGTGTATTTCAAATACCAGTAGCGTCAACACTGGTGGAAAGGTTTTGGCACAGTTTCCAGACTAAAACCAGGCAGGCATGCCTAATGATCTACTTCTGGAATGTAGCCAACATAAACCTCATAGACTACAACAATCAAATTCTGGAACGAGGTCCCCTATGCTGGATGGCAACAACAGACTCAAGCATGCCCGTGATGAGGAAGATGGTATGGGACCAGGGAACACATCATCCTATTATCCATGGGTCAAGAGGGACTCCAGGACAACCTAGTAACACAAATGTTCACATGCTTAGGTTCTACCTCCCCAGCTAGATTATGGGTTCCTGAGGGGCAGGACCCAGGTCTGACACATATTTCTGTGGCCCTCCAGCACCTAGTGCATGGTCTTTGCAGGTAGTATATTATATGCTCCAGACTGACCCATGGACAAAGGTTTCATAGTAAGTGGACAGTAGCACTTTGAAAATTTCTGGCTGTGGAAAATGAAAGCATATATACTGGCTAATCCTAACCTGAAGGAGTCTTGGTGGTGCTGTTGGACTGCTAACTGCATGGTCGATGGTTCAAACCTACCAGCTGCATTGAGGATGAAGGATGAGGCTGTCTGCTCCTGTAACAATTTACTGGAAATGCTGTATGAGGTCACTGTAAGTTGAAATTTACTCTTGGCAGTGAATGATGCTCACTCTGGTGAAGAATATGAATTTAGACAACTTGTGGATGCACTACACCCCAAAATTCATCAAAAAGGAGTTGTTCAGGTTACAAATTCATTTTTAGCACCTGTCACATGTTCTTCAAAATAGTTTTCAAAGGCAAAACTCGTCAGGGAATGGAAAAGCTGATCCTGCCACTTGACTTACCTGTGGGTTAAAGTTGACGGTGATCTGGTTCATCTCTGGGTCCCGTGTCAGAAGCGGCTGGGAAAGATTGTACTGTGACTTCTCTGAGACAGTCTGGCACCAGTTTTCATAAAGTCTCGTTTCATACCTGTAGGGATTGAAGACAACAGCCCCGTGCCTGGTAACCACCCTCTCAACTCTCCAACTCCTAGTAATGCTGCATGTTAGGAGCCAATTATATACTTGTGTTGGTGCCATCAAGCATGGCCATCCCCCACACACTGGAATAACATGCTGCCTGGTCCTTCTCCATCTGCATGTACAGCGGGATCACAGTTCTGAGGTACGCGGTTTTCATTGGCTGATTTGGGGGAAGTAAGTAGTCGGGCCTTCCTTCTGAATCCATCTTAGTTGGAAAGCTCCGCTGAAACCCGAGCAGCAGCAGAGCGACAAGCAAGCCTCCGTGAAGAGGGGGACGGTGGCTGGGTATGAAGTGCACTGGCTGGGAATCAACTCGACCACTGAACAACCACCATTAGTAAAATACCTAACTATATTATCAGGTCAAAGTCATGGTCAGTGAGTGATGGAAGCACCTGCAGATAATCACTTACTTCTTCTCAAGGCAGCAGAACTGAATTCAGAGGAACTGGTAGAGAGGGAGAGACCAAAGGGTCTTCTGGGAGGATGAAGGAAGTGGAGGGTGAGGGTGAAATGGGGGGCAGGGATGAAAGAATTACCAGAAATATGTGTTTTAAGGATTTCTTTGTTAGAAACACAAACCTACCAGCCCTCTCCCTTGCAGAAAAGAATTTAAGTTCTATCAGAAATGTTCTAACTCAGGGAAGTTTGTAAAGCAGGCCAATAAGATAAGAATCCAGGCAGGTAGCATTCCGCCCCCCCACCCCCCACCCCCGCTTTCAGGTAAACAATGCCTCTATGAAGGCTCAGGAGGTGGGGGTTTGGAAAGGCAAGGTAGGAAGCTTCCCTCACTTAGACAAACAAATGAGGTTTCATGGGATGATTTAGGTATAGATAATTCCCTATTTTCACTTCAAACCCTGACTTCTTTTGTTACCTTCAATGATATCAATGATAACCTATTACCACTGAAAACAGTGCTAATCAAGTCCCTGCTATCATTGTAAATCTGCTTCTTGCATAGTCAAGGGTGTATAACTTGCTTGATTCTCAATGGATTTTTAAAATAGTATGGAGATAACAAACACCACTATTTCCTTTTGTCTAATGCTTTAGAATAAACTTTCTTTCGAATCAACCTCATCCCTGTCTTCGGCTGAAACAGTGACAGGTAATCCCGGATCCTTGTTCATAGAAACAGGAAGTTGCGATTAACCTTAGTAAAAGTCAGAAGAAATTACTAGGTAAGCTTGGCTTTCTTCCATGTAGCTCAAGGACATCATCTACTCAGTCATTACACCTGGCCTGAGCTCCTGCTCCAAGAGGAGGAAATGCCCTGGGGAGTGTAGTTGGTAATGGGAACCACTGATCAGCAGAAGTAATGCAGCGAGCCCAATCCTGAAGAGATAGACAGAGTATGAGGCATTGGACAGTAGTGGCGGGTCCGGGTCCAAGTGGTACAGAGAATGCCAGGGAAGCTCTCCTGGTGGCGGTGATGAAGAGATGCTGGGTGCTGAGATGCAGTCTGAGAGGATGGGTAGAAGTTGTTCATGCAGGAGGAGCAAGCACTTGGGGAAGAAGTTGCAGCATGACCCAAGGGGTCAAGGTGAGGAACCCCAACGTATGCATGCTGGGAACAAGGAGTAGATACATCTATCTGAGGGCAGAGGAGGCAAGGGACAAAGCTGGAGGGAAGGCCAAGGCCCAACTGTGGAGGGCATTTCAGCTTGCTTCAAGCAGATGGTGGGAAGAGTTGAAGGGGAGCATGGGGACATCATCAGATCTGACAGCAGGGTGGGCCCTGAAGGGCATGGCTCTGGAGGCAGGAAGGCCTCTTTCGACCTGTCAGCAGCAGTTCAGGACAGCAAGGCAAGGTTGCAGTCTATGGGAAGGCACTGATGGTGGAGAGAGCCGAACAGATACCTTTGAAGCCCTTGAAGGCAGAGCTCGGAAAAATGGGTGGCTCAGCAAATGGAGGTGTCACCAACGGACCCCACACAATTGTATTCATAAGAACAACAACTCTACCACCCATACCCTCACAGCAGGAGAAAGAGGACATGACGGATGGAGGAGACAAGACAACAGGTTTGCACACCCCCACCCCAGCCGTTTTCAGCAGGACCAACCATACAATCTTCATTTGTGTGCTTGCTCCATAAAAGAGCGGAAAAAGCCCTTTCCAAAACCGGTTTCCGGAGTTTGCAGCCTACTCAGCTGCTTTCTGCTTGGTGAGCAGGACTGGCGAGGCCCAGCGCATGGACCCCAGAGTACACTCTTTAGGTGAGCCCCACGTGGCCCGCTTCAACTCCGCCCCTGCTCCTCACACAACTCCAGCGAAAAGTGTTGTTTTTCCGGAATAGAGCCGCCTTCTCAAGGGGCCGTGCCCCAGAATAACCCAGAAATACCGTAACCCAGAAATACTCTCCTCGCAAACAGCAGGCTGCCAACGTCAAATACAATGTGACATTTCAAAACCACTGAGGAACCTGCACAAACCCTGGGCCGCAAATGGTATCCCACCCCCACCCCGCAGTCTGCACAGCAGGAAACGCCCAGAAGCTTACTTTTCCAGCACCGAGAGCATGTCTTCGTATTTATGCACCATTCGCCTTCCTTCAGCGGACTCCAGGCAGCTGCACGTTCACAGGAGAGAACAAGAGGACAAGGAGAAATAAAAAGATAAGAACACAAGAGCTTGAGAACCCTGGGGCACCATAGAGTGTCGGGTCGCCAGAGGAGCACGGTTGGCGTGCTAAGACTGTGCGCATTTACTCCTCTGGAGTGAGCAACGGCAATTTTCTCTCTCTCTTTTTTTAAAACCACATCAAAGATTCTGCTTCTGGGGATGGTTGGCGTCTTTCTAGTTCTTTCCCAAACCAAGAGCAACTCCCTACAGGATCTTCTCAGATGTACAATCCTCGACAGGGACGATCACAGGCTTCCTTGTGCTTGCCTACTAATCCTTGCTTTCTGATGAGCGCCAGGCCCCTGCCTGTGAAGAGGGAGAGATGGAGCAGCTTCTTAGGCTGGCTTCCAAATGCCGGTCCAGTCGCCCTCGTTCTTCTTCCTGTACACCCTCCGCAGGCCGCTAGAGGGCGGGTGCGCTTCCAAGAATACCGGCTGCCCCACAGGTGAGCAGGCAGCATTTCACACCTATAAAGTTCTCCCACCACTTCCTGCCATCCTGCTCAAGCTCAGGACTCGGCCACGCCCCTCCTCTGGCAGACCCACTCAGCCACGCGCACTATAAACGAGTTCCTTCAAAGATCTGCAACTGAAGGAAATTGAAATACTAACGACACGTTTGGTGTTGTACTTTCCTGTATTTAGGAGAAGGGAGATAAAAACCTCTGCAGAGTATCTTTATTTTTCTTCCTGTCGTGTACTAAAGAAATGCCCTTTTCTGAAATCTATTGAAGACATGTGATGAAAAATCCTACCACTCGATGACCATTCATGCTTACACGAAATTCCCTCCCCTCCCATCTCCTACCCTTATGTGTGTATACACAATGCATACCCAGACATAACACACGTGCTCGTGCATGCACACACATGCACACAGGAATGTGTGCACACACAAGCATACCAACACATGGGCAGACACGTGTACACACACGGACATGCACATATGGAGTGTGAGCAAAACCGGAAAGAAACACTGTTAACAACTACAACGCTGTCCCTGTTTTTGCCACTACAATACTGAAAGACAGTCCAGCTCCTGCAAAATTGGCGAAGCATCCTTCATTTTCAAAAAGTTTGTTTTTGTTTTCTAGCTAACTGAGGCTCTCCCCTGGAAAGGTCTTTCAGATCCATTTACTCTTTTTAAAAATCATTTTATTAGGGGCTCATACAATTCTTATCACAATCCATACATACATCAATTGTGTAAAGTGCATCTGTACATTCATTGCCCTCATCATTCTCAAAACATCCCCTCTCCACTTAAGCCCCCGGCATCAGGTCCTCATTTTTCCCTTCCCTACCCACTCCCCCCTCCCTCACGAGCCCTTGATAATTTATAAATTATTATTTTGTCATATCTTGCCCTGTCCGACGTCTCCCTTTACGCCCCCCCCCCCTTCGGTTGTCCGTCCCCCAGGGAGGAGGTCACATATAGTTCCTTGTAATCGGTTCCCTCTTTCCAACCCACTCTCCCTCTACCCTCCTAGTATGGCCACTCACACCACTGGTCCTGTAGAGATCATCCGCCCTGGATTCCCTGTATTTCCAGTTCCTATCTGTACCAGTGTGCATCCTCTGGTCTAGCCAGACTTGCAAGGTAGAATTGGGATCATGGTAGGGAGGTGGGAGCGGGGAGGAAACATTTAGGAACTAGAGGAAAGTTGTATTTTTCATCGTTGCTACATCGCACCCTGAACTGGCTCGTTTACTCTTTAAACCAACGCAGGGTTTCTTCACAAGATCTCTTGAGTTTTCCATCCAACCCCTTATGCCTGGTTAGAGAGTGTTGGATTGACTAGGGTCTGGCCCAGCCTGGTTTCCTTTCCCACTGCTAAGCAGGTACACCTGTGTGGCAGTGAGGATTGGAAAATGCTTCCGAGACCGGAGGTGGGGTCAGACTTCCTCTTCTGGCAAAAGCTATGGTATTCTCACAAGTCTCAGTCTTGTGCACGTAAGAGAATGAGGCTGGAAAGCAGCGTGCCTCCTCACTCGGGTCCTGGGAGCAGCAGTAGACGGAGGGAGGAGTCCTGGGAGGGAGGACAGTGAAAGTCTGTGGCTTCCATTCCCCTTCAGGATGAGGATTCTAAAACATTTTTTTTTGTTGTTTTTAGCTGCTGTCCTGTCATCTCCAGCTTATGGCGAGCCTTGTATAACAGAATAAAGCATTGTCCAGTCCGGCACCATTTTCACCGCCATTGGCATGTTTAAGTCCCCATCATCAAACCCACTGCCAGTGAGTCAATTCCACTCATATTGACCCTATAAGATAAAGTGGAAGTGCCCCTTGGGGATTCCGAGGCTATATATCGTAAAGGAGGAAGCAGCCTCATCTTTAGCTCCAGGAGAAACCAGTGGGTTCGAACTGCAGACCTGCAGCCCAACTCATAACCCAGGGCTTCTTTTGGAGACTAGGTATCTGAGTTTAGGGAGTCAAGAGAGCCATGCTCTCTCTCTTTACACGTTTTTTTTTTTTTTGGTCTCTTGGAGTTTCTGTCAGCTCTAGGCATTTCTTGAGACTCCTTAGTTTGTGGATGTATTTCACATGGTGTAATCTGTCTCTGTCTCCTTGTCAGTTCTTTCCTTTCAGAAGACCCCACTCAAAAGGGAGTAGGATGCACCCCAGTCTAGTGGGATCTCATGAAATGAACTTCAGAGTAACATCCTCGGAGAAAGAGCCTATTTCTAAACAACATCACAGTCACAGGCACACGGAGTAGGACTTCGACAGATCTCTTTTGGGCAACTCAGTTCAATCCCTCACACTGCTAGGCCAATCTGTATCTGGAGGATGGCTAGAAAGATAACGTCAGGAAGCCATTTGCATCTCTCCAAAATGCAGTATTTATAGCAGGAGACACAAGACCCAAACCAGCCTCCTTCTCAGGAGTGGGATACTCACGGATGGGTGAGGCCTTGGAAATGGCTGATGGGCCTCTGTATGCGCTGCCTCAGCTCCTGGACCCAGCGGAGACCTCCGGCCATGGCAGGCATGTTTTTGTGTACTGGCGAGAACCCTGGGGACCCAGCACAGGGCAGTAAGCAGAGGTGACCAAGCCTATTAACACTGCTGCACCCCAGCAATACCTCCTGCCAATTGCTCCACTCTGAGCCCTGGTAACGGAGGTTACAACTTGGGTGTTCCAAGACACTGCCTATAATATAAGACCAAGGAGCTCTGCTGGCTGCTAACCACAAGGTCAGAAGTTCAGTTCTGCAGTAAAAAGATGAGGCTTTCTACTCCAGTAAAGAGTTACAGTCTTAAAAACCCACAGGAGCGGTTCTACTCTGTCATATAGGGTCACTATAAGTCAGAATTGCCTCAGTGTCAGTGAGTTTGACTTGGTGTAATATAGGACAGGCAGGAATCACAGGAGTCTCTCAATAGTGCAAACAGCTATGGTGCTCAGCTACTGACTGAAAGGTTGATGGTCGAGTCCACTGAGAGGAGCTTCGGAAGAAATACCTGACAATCTACTGCCCCCCAAGTCAATGATTGAAAACTCCTACGTCGGCCAGTTCTACTCTGACACACGTGGGTTCAAAAGGAGTCAGAGTTGATTCAACAGCAATTGTTTAATTTTATATTTATAAGACTTGCAATAAAAATAGTGACTTTACTGCTATCATGACTTTGTACTTGTCAGGCTCCTTCTGGTTTCTCAAATCAGAAGTTTGGTGGCTGTGACACTGGAAAGAATGAGGGTTTTTTTCTTACCCCCTCAGGTGTGTAAAACCCTAGTGTGGAACTTAGGTTTACTGACGATTGGTCAGTGTGGCAATGTGGTACTTACATAATTTCATGTCAACTTGAATACAGGAAAGTATAGGGGTGGAGTTTAGCCTGTCTATCAGGTCACAGCGTGATGGTGCCTCCTGGTGGACTTGACCTCCTCATAAGGTGGGTCCTGAGAACATGCCCCCACCCCCACCTGCCTTCACCTTCCTGTTGAGGCCACGTGGAGACTTGTGCAAGCCATGTAATATGGCCACTACCACTGGAGCCACACGACTCTGCATTCACGGACTACATTCTGCATCATTGCATGTGGCTGCAGGAGTCTAACGAGTGACTTGTGGTCTTGATTTAGACTGGGCTGGGATGTTTTCTTGACATACAATTACAGCTTGATATTAATCTTTCTCTTATGCACATATGAGTGTCCTTGAATTTGTTTCTCTAGTCAACCCGGCCTAACACAGGCAACATGGACCAATGGTCAGCCCAGATA